AAAAAAAAAAATCTCTAGGTTAAACTGAGCGTCCAAAAAAAAATCGTCTGAAACCAGTGATTTGAATTATACAGTAAAGATAACTTTGAAAATTTCCATTATTCAAAAAACTGAGGTTTCTGCTGCATTTTTTGTCGTCCATTCACTGCAATTTTTTTAACTCAATACCAAATTCAAATTTTTTTGATACTGCATTAAAAATGTAGAACTTGATAAAAAAAAACTCCATAATTTTACTGTAATTTACTGTCGTTTTAAAAATATTAATTAAACCCTCTCTAAGTTTATCTATACTCTATAGATTTGAAAAAAATTCTTTCTAATCAAAAACCACTGAACAGCGTTTGAAAAACGCCAAAAAATGTAACAGTGAATAAATGAAAAATTTTAAAAGTGTATTTTGGTTTAATAAAGCTACAATGTGTTTGCATATTCTGTAGTAATTTTGATTCAACTGACTGGCTGACTGATAGTGGTACATTTTGTAAAATTTATTTCACAGGTTCCACTCACTCCATCGACGACCAACTTTTACAGTCTTGCTATTTCAAAAAAAGAAAAATTTGACATGTCCCTTAAAAAAACAGACTTTAGATTAGAGCTGACATTATTTAGACATATACTCTAAAAATTGTGCTTGTAAACAAACCGACTTCTCCATAATACCACAAGAAAAAAGTTTATAGTCCATCTACCAGTTCCATTGGCCACGAAATGCTTCCCAATCAAATAGTGACAGGATGATGACAATCAATGGTGCAGGAAACTTCCGGTACACATACACCGAAGCCCTTTATGGCCAACTACTACTGGAAGTTAAAATACGCATGTTCTACCCACTGACTGTCACAGAGTCCTTAAGTTAGGTATTGAACTCTCTCGGTATGAGCTCGCAACATAAATCCAAAACTTAGCCGTTATTGAAAGTAAAAATCAGTGCGACAAAAGAAAGCAAAATCTCACGACAAAGCATTTAATACCGTTTTCAAAAGCACAATTTTTTTGTGACGACGCCCATACCCTCAACAGTTGAAACTTGAAACACTTTTTCCAACTAATTGCTATCAAACTTTGTCAAATGTTTCAAGTATTCTAGCAAGCAAATTTGATGTTTATTTTTCAAAGTGACAACAGCACAACGGCAAAAATGCAGAAACAAATTTAACTCTCGTAGATTTTTATATTTTAACTATATAATAAAATCAGATAAAAATTCACTTCAAATTCTATCGACAATCGAGCAATGAAAATTCAAACAAGTGAAATCATAACGAGCAAAATTG